TAAGAACTGTAAGAACCCCCAATAAAATTAGTGTGTTTTTTTTAAAAAGAAAGCAGATGTTTAGAAAATAATGATGGCAACATATGCTTCATAAAATTGATGTATGGATACATCAAGCATACAAATATGCTTGATAAAATTGATGTATGGATTGTTATAAGAGTTGTAAGAGCCCCCAATAAAATTATCTTTTGATTTCAAAAAAAATAACTTTCTATGTTTTCCTCAATGGCATAAATAACACAGACAATATTGTATTCAAATGACAAAAGTATTTTTAGCCTCTGAATATTATGAAATATTATCAACAAAATTAGAAGATGTGTAAAACATGTATGATAAAACTGATACAAAAATTTAAAGAAAATTTTAAAATCATTAAAATATATTCATAGCTCATTAACCAATGAGGGAACTGCTGGTAAGATTTTAAAATCTGTTCACAGGAAAATTCAAAGAATGACACACATGCATAGGCAAATAAATGCTGAAAAATGTGCAATCAGATACATAGAGGTTCTATTCATGGGGTGATAATCAATTGCATTTCACCAGGCACAACTTAATTATATCTGTTTGGAATAGAACTATTGGTATTTTTAATCAATCTTCTATACCTTTTGGAAGTGTCAAATAGCTGAAAGGCAATGAGAGGCTGAAACAGCCAAGAAAGGGGCTTAGTCAAGAAGGATGCTCTAAAACAGATCCCCCTGTAATCTTTTTGGTCCACTTCTAAATCGCTTTCATTTCTCCCTCTTTAATATTAAAAGAGAAGCAGAGGAATAAAGACTATAAATCATTTTAAAACAGAAGAGAAAATTAAATGAAAATTGTTTTCAAATAAAAGATGCCAATCATGCTATCTAAACACATATAGTATAATTTGCTTAAAAATAGAGTAATTTTCGTATTTCACTAGATTTCATTTTTAAATAATTGTATTCTAGTCATTCTAAACTTTCAGAAATGTTGCAGATAGTACAGCGAGCTCCCGTATAAGCCTCATTTAGTTTCCCCTGAGTGCATGTCTCACAACTTTCTATGCCAAGATGAATAAATTATTATCAGCCAAGGACCATGTGTTTTAAGGACTTTTTTAGCTTTCAACTGTCAAACTAATCAAAGGATAAAGAAATGACGGCAGTCTGCATGCATATAAGTAGACTTCACCCTTGAGAAAAATAGGAGGGCTTATTGTTGGCTAGTTTCAGCAAGCTTTTAAGGAGGAGAAAGAGACAATACAAAGTACAAAATTACCCATTTGGCTAGCCTTAGTATATCTAATTAAATCATGTGTTTGTTGCTTCCTTCCCAAGGATCCCTGGTGGCCCATGAGAACTGATTAGCCTCCTTTCATCTAAATACAACAAACTTATCTCAATCGTGTTCTCAGGAAACAAGGGCAAAAACTCAGATTACTTTAGGTAAAGTTCAATTCTCGACACAGGGTAAACTAAGTGAGTCTGTGGTTAATATGCGTCTTGTCACAAAGGGGTTTGCATGAGAGTGATTGCTGTGTCTTCCCTTTCCTTTCCGTCTGTTTGTGGTACACTCTGCTCAGTGACTTTGCGACCTTCCTCAGCAATCAGAGCATCCGTCAATGTGGCCTTCTGTTTCCTTTTGAAAGCAGACCTCATATTCCCCTTCTGTTCCGGGAGCCCATCCAAGAGGCCGCTTTGCCTGTGTCAAGCCTCCTATAGGCTCCCTTGGGTGGGGAGTTCTCAGACTTTCCTTATTTGGATGACCTGGGCAGTTTTGAGGAGTAAAAGTCAGGCATTTTTTTTAGAATGCTCCTCTATTGGGGATTTTCTGATATTTTCACACAATTAAAATCAAAACTCACCGCCATTGAGTTGATGCTGGCACATAGTCACTATAACTGTTAAACTATCACTGTTTAAGAGAGTAGAAAGCCTTGTCTTTGTCCCACGGAGTTGCTGGTCGTTTTGAACTGCCCACCATGTGGCTCTCAGCCCAACACATAACCACTACACCACAATTAGGATGGAGTTATTTTATTTTATTCTGCTTTTTAACATAAGAATGGCATAGAGGTAAAACGTCATTCTCATTATATATCATCTTGCCATAATGAAGTATGATCTGCTTGAAGTAAAGGCAAAAAGCAAAATTGTGGAGTAAAGTTTTAACATACCAGGGACTGCCAGAACAATGACTGATTCGTTTTGGAAGAAGTGCAATCAGAATGGTCCTTGGAAGCAAGGATGGTGAAACTTTGCTCATGTGCTTTGGACATGTTCTCAGAAGGGATTGCAGGTCAGCAAACATGAACACCCTCAATGCGATGGCCTGTCACAGTGGCTACACCAAGGGGCTGAAATATCCAAACAGCAGCGAGCTGCAGGACTGGGCAGTGTTCGCTTGTCTTGTACACAGAGTCGCTATGAGACCGGATAGGCCCTGGACAGCACAGAGTGACAACGGCCACCACCTCTGGAGCGGCACGCCCCCAGGATTAACCTGCCAAAACCAAACGCTAGGACAGTTGTAAGGCTTCTTTTGTTTCCTGTTTTTCAGAAGCTCATGGTATTTGTTGTTTGATGTCTTGTGTCTTTAACATTTTATATATTCTTTCTGGCTTTGATGTTGTTCTCTTTGTTTGCTTAAGGTAAGAGGGGACAATTTCTTATCACACCCTTACATTTTAGTCCACTTGAACAGCTTTATCTTACTCTACTTATCACAACTAATACATAGGTTATCTACTTGTATTTTTTAATGATAACTTTTATGATTCTCTATCTTTAGAGCTCTGAAATTTCATCTAAATCTGTGTGTGTGTTCTTTCCCCAATCATTATGCTCAACACTGAATATACACGTGTTATAGTTTTGTTATTTTAAGGAAGATTACGGAACAGAGAGAAAAGGAGAGAATTATATATACCCAATCTGCCCCCTTGCTTTTACTTCAAATCTCATTGTTACATGGGTCTTTCACTAACAGTTCACAACTGTTATATCTTTGTTTTGTATTGATTTATTTTTATCAACATACAGCATCCTATAGTCCAGTTTGATTATTTTTATTTCAAATGATACTTGTTTTATTGTGGCATCATAATCTAATTTATTCTTCCTGTTATTTGCCTTCAGGAGAAAGATGAGGCTTTCTATTCCAATGCAGAGTTACAGTCTCAGAAACCCACAGAGGCAGTTCTACCCTGTCCTAAAGACTCTGTGAATTGAAATGGGCCTGTTGACAGTTTGTTCTGTTTTCTAATGATTTGCCTTGACTATCGTAATTCATCCCTTTATTTCTACCTTTAAGGATCCTTTGTCAACGGAAATATCGGATTTTAAAGTGTTTATATTTATCGAACACTTTTTGAGCCAAGTTAATTGCTACATTTAGTGCCTGCCATAGAGCAAACAATAAGTTGGAAGTCAGGTTTTAATTAATGAAAGTTATTTTTTAAATAAGCAATGCATGTCATGAAAAGGTAAATACTGCGTTTATGCTTTTTTTAATTCAACGTGGATAACTAAAAGATATTTTATAGATTACAAAACTTATATGCTTTTTTAATTTAAAAAATCTGTAATATAGTTGTAACAGTTCTTTCTCATCACCGAATAATAATCTGCAGTGAGTGGGTATTGTTGCCAAGTGTCATCAAATCAATTTAAATTCACAAAAATCCAGTGATGAGATTCAGCCGGCTCACACCGGTTCGGCAGAACTGAAACCTAATTTTTTCATTGAGTTCGGCAAACCAGTTGTTAAAATAGCACTTGTAATCAGGGTGTTCTCAAAAATGGGCAGCTGCCCAATGTGGAAATCACTAATTTACATTTCGTACTCTTTTTTAACGTTCATCTTTGTAACAATGTATTCTAAGCACCAATAACAATGTTAATTCCAGCAATAGGTAGAAAAAACTAGAAGGAATTATGCTTGTAATATTTACTAAGTCATTTTATAGAACTTGTGATGCTTTTGATGAAATACTACATTTTTATTCCCTTGCATGTTACTTCCGTGAGCGAACACCTAAGAGAACAAGTGCGGACCAACCAGAGGGGGACACGCTGTCGTTCGTTTCAGCTCTGCTCTGACCTAAATTCCCACAAGATATTTTGAGTGGATTTGCAATTCCTGAAACTGTTCAAAGAGCTAAAAATATTGTCAGAACAATTTCTGTAAGTTCAGCAGAAGTTGAAAGGAGTTTTTCAAAGATAAGCGTAATATATACTTTCAGAGAAGTTGCCTGTTTCTAACATATCAAACACAATGACTGTGTCTAATTGGTCTGCCTCTAAAGGAATGGGATCCCACACCAACAGTGGAAGATGGTTCCGTTTTGGTTGTGTCAGATGTTATTTAATATTGTTTCATTAATATTTTAAAACAATTTCTTTTAACAATCTAGTTTTGTGCATCTCTTTTATTGTTGTTATTTACGTGTATGAAATAATACGCTTTTGATATCTTTTTAAAATAATACCTTTTGGTATATCATTTTTTAAAACTTAAAACAATCATTAGGGCAGCGAAAAGGTTGCGAATTCCTTTAATCTCACCACTGCAGAAATCTCCTGTGGCAGATTTCCTGGGCGGTAATCTTTATGGAAACAGTTCACCACGGACCCACTGGATACATTCCAACCTTTCAATTAGCAGCTGAGTGATTAACCATTGCGCCATCAGGGACAGTTTCCTATTTTTAAGTGCATGTCCACTTTTCTTTTTATCATAGTCATTATAATTAAGGAAAACGTGGGCGCGCAAGAGGAGACGCGGCGGGAACTCCAGCCAGTACACTCTGCCACTTCCACGCCCCTTACTCCCTGTAAACGCCGTTTTCTCCAGCCTGCCTTGGTTTGGCTCCTCTCGGGCTCCGTAGGCAACCGTGCTGCAGCATCACCTGGGAAATGTAGTTCAGAGGACCAGGCTTGCCTCTCGGCCGCGGGACCCCGTGGTTCTCCGGAGTGCAGGCGCAGTTCTGCCCGGCGGCTCGGAGGCGGGAGTGCCTAGGGTACCGGCGCCAGGTGTTCCCCACGTCTCCAGGACTGCCAGCACCTCCGCGTCCCCTACGCGGCCGACCCAGGTACCGGCTGGCGGGGCGGCTGACCCGGGACGTGCCGCTCCCACGGCGGAGTCCAGGGCAGGCTGCCGACCGCTGTGCGTGCCACTGCGGCCTCGGCAGGTGGACGCGGCCCTGGAGGGCGTTGCCCGGGGAGCCCTCCACGGACGCCCAGAGGGCGCTGCCTCCACCAGAGCCCTGGACCCGCAGCTCTGGCCAGTTTCCTGGAGCATGGGCCCCAAGGAACAGGTTACAAAGAACTCTGTCTGGGTTGGGGTTCTTGAACTCTGGAAGGATGCACTCTGCGGGAGAGGATGCTCTCGGCTTTTCGCGTCCCCCCACCCCCGTTTAAACTTTTATTTTGGTATTGCCGCCCTAGCTTGTTTGGCGGTGGTTTCCTAGTGACTCGTGAAGTCACTCAACTGTGGGTAAGGATAATTTTGCCCACTTGCTAAGTGTCTTCCATTTTCTTTAAAATTTCAGGTCACTTCTAGCCAATGACCCTTTCCCTTTGGGGCAGCGTTTGTTTCCGTGTTTAAGCACCCTTGATACTTTATTTCATAAAGAAAACAGAACTTCCATGAAGAAGAAAAGAGTGCTTTCGATTGACTACTTTTTTAAAAGGACACCAATTCTTCAAATGCGGATTACCCCCTACCCCTTAGAAATAGTCAATGGAGATAGATATATGGAATGTTTATATCTTACTTAGCTCATTCACTTAACAACTCTGATAGCCCCGCGTGGCTATCTGTCCTTTACTCTGTCATAATGCAGCCCTCTGGTTATAATCTACGTTCAGAATCTGTATCATAAACAGCTGGTAGGAGGTAGCTGACCCAGTGGCTGGGAGTATGCTTGCTGTCCTCACTTCCAGATTTTGGTTGCAAGGCCCTTGAATCCCAGGGCTACCATCACACTGGCGTCCCTCTCTGCTAGGTGCTTAGTGATTGTGGAGATCCAGCCTGATGAGGCACAGGGCCCCCACAGCTTCTTTCTCCATTCCAGGTGATCTCAGCACACCACCCTTCACTGAGAGGGCCAAGGGGAGGGAGAAATGGCCACAAGATTACTGCCAGCCCAAACTCAGGTGAGTGGAGGCTGCTTTCCTGAATTGCCTTCTAGTTCAACCGAAAACCAAACTCACCGTTGACTGAGTTGATTCAAACTCAGCGGTCTTATACAGGGCTTCCTTATGGGATCTAACAGCCTCATCTTTCTCCCGAGCCAGATAGATCGAGAACTCTTGAAGGAAATCATGCCCCTTGCTCCAGCTCTAGTCTCATTGTGAATTCTCCACTCTGTTAAGTACTTGCAGACTTTGAAAAGGTTTTCAACCAGTACTCACTGCCACACTAGAACTTTGTGAGGACCAGGGAGCTGAGGTGTTTGTTTGCCTCATTGAGGGCAAGACATAGAACCCAAAGCCAAACCCACTGCCATTAAGTTGATTCTGACCCAACACAACCCTGTAGGACAGAGTCAAACCTCTCCCAAAGGCTTCTGAGGCCGTAAATATTTATAAAAGCAGACTGCCTCATCCTTCTCCCATGGGACAACTGGTTATTTTGAGCTGACCACTCCCTTAACAACCCAGTGCATACTTCCTTCCTGATCCCAGGGACACAAAGAATAAAGGCACTAACTTTGCCCACCATGGACTTGGGATCACCAAACTCCTTGCCATCCAGTTGATTTTGACTTATTGACTGTAGAGGACAGGGTAGAACTGCCCCTGTGGGTTTTGAGACAGTAACTATTTATGGGAGTAAAAAGTCACATTTTTCTCCCATGGAGCAGCTGGTGGTTTTGAACTGCTAACCTTGTGGTTAGCAACCCAACGAGTGACTCACTACGCCACCAGGGACCTTCAGATCACCAATGTAAGGGACATGGAAAAGGTCTGGAGGATTTCCTCAGAAGAACTAAGAAAGAGCAGCTCACTCCCCACTCGTGTGGTATGGGGAAGACCCTATCACTGGAGCGACTTTCAGCTTACACTGAAACAGGTTCATGGAAGTGGTAAACAGGCCATCCTCAAGCCCCAGCTTAGGCACAGATTCAAAGAGGAGCACTCTCCCTAGGTGATTTCTTCACCTTTGTACCCCGTCCTCACCAGGAACTTACTCTGTAACTTTGATAGGTAGGAGACAGTGGCATCTCTAGAGGACTGCAGTGAATACAGACCATGCAAAGTAGCACAGTCACCAGGGGCAGACACCAAAATGACTACGTATCAAATTGTGCAATGTTGAAGCCAAAATATACTTATTTTTTCTAAAAGTACCCCTAGAAGTTATAGCAATAAAAACATTTTTCATAAGCCCAGTGTATTTGTATCGATATACCTACATGGCTAAAACTATACTAATTTACTTTTTCAGTCTTTTAACTGGCTCTGGTCAGAGATGTCACCATTACTCAATTACAGTGACAGAATCACATGGGTTCATCGACACTGCACTATTGTTTCATTGGTGCCGGTGTTTGTATAGTTGCCGACTTTGTCAAGTTTTCTGGTGTTTTACCTACCATATTGTAATCGGTATTTGTGAGCTTATAATGAACTGCTTTTGAGAATGAAGTAGAGATTAAAAGAAAAGGAGTGATATACAGGAATTGTGATTTATGAGTAATATTAGTACATAAAACATTACTGAGGATACTATATGATCTAGTGTGGGAAGAGGTCTGTGGGGTGATACCAATTATAGTTACACCACTGATGGGGACTTAGGCGATGAGTTTCTGGGTGGTCGTAACAGTTTATTCTCAACTATTGACTGAAAAGTCAGTGGTCTACGCGCACCTGGCAGTGCCACAGAAGAAAGGCTTGGTAATGTTTTCCATACCAATTTTAGCCAAGAAACTCTCATAGAGCACTTGTCCACTGTAAGGCATAGAGTTGACATGGGTCAGCATTGACTCAACAGCAATGGATTTGGTTTTGACCTCTGGCAGTGGTGGTTTGGTTGTAAAATTCTTGCCTTCCGTGCCAGAGCCCAGGTTCAATTTCTGGCCAATGTACCACATGTACAGCTACCATCTGTCAATAGAGGCTTGCATTTGCTTTGATACTGAACAGATTTCAGCAGAGTTTCTAGAATGAACTAAGATTTACAGAATCTACTTCTGAAAATCAGCCATTGAAAAGATGCATCACAACAATCTGGTCTGCACCTGATCATAAGGATGGCTCGGGGCCAGGGAGCATTTTGTTCCATTGTGCCTGGGGTAGCCATGAGTTGTGATCAGCCGGGCAGCCCCTACCTTGGGCACGGTAAAGATAAAGTGAGCTGTGACCTAACACTTATCCCTCTCAAGCTGTATCCTATAGAAGCAAGCTCTGCACATTTGGCTGTTGATGGACAGGAACATTCCGCCCAACATTTTTATGGTAATGAGAAAGTCGACACAATCTATAGGTCCACCAGTAGAAGATCAGTTAAATAAATTGGTTCATCTATACAGTGACATACTGGGCTATAAGTTTTAAATATTGGAGTAGATCCAGTTATCTGTAATTTGATGATATTTCTGTTTTAAGTACAGAACTTAATATTTAGGTGTAACAAGTCTGAAAGGACATACGGCAAAAAGTTAACAAAATGTGTTTCTGGTGGTGAAAGTAAATTAGATTGGAATATATTTTCCTTCTGTTTATTAGTCTTTCCTAAGTTTTTCTTTTGGTGTTTTAACACAATGATCTTTAATAAGGACAGGAAAGGGGTCATTAGTTTAATGGAAGTGGCTTGTAGTCCAGTGAAACAGGCAGGAGGTAGTGTCAAGCCTTCCTGGGGGCAAAGGAAGAGCCCTGACTGCTGCCCTCTCAGCTGCCTCTTGTTGCCAGGATGTAGAGCCTACGACTTTTATCCTCTCCTGCAAGGCCATATCTGGGCCATTATCAGAGCTTCCTTTTACTCCGTCAGGGTCTTCTCTTCCAGGCCTGGAGATGGCCCAAGGTAATGATAGTCTTCCTAGGCAAGCCAGTGGTTTCCCATCTCACCCTCCGCATTGTGCAAGAGCCTCTTTCTAAAACCAGGATCTTATATTCTCAGCAGTAAAATAAATTTGTGTGGGTGATTGTACACTTCCAAGTCTAAAGTTCTAGGTCGTCTACCATTCTGGTTTTGTTTAATAGTCTCAAGTGCTCATCTTGTCTGGTTATTGAACTTAAACTTTCTGAGGGCACGGTTTTTCTTCATTCACAGTAGGTAATAGTAAACATGTGCCCAGTTAACTGAGAAATGGCCAGGAAATACGAGGGAGCTTCAATAAGTCTATGGAAAAGTGGTATTGAAAGGTAGTGTAGTTTTTCCATGGATGTTTTGAAGCCCCCTCATACTTGGCTTGAAACACTGAGATACTGGTGTTATCACTGTGGTCCAGCTCGTTGTTGGTATGGCTTTTGATGAGCAGGAATGGCTTTTCATTACAGAAGTTTGTGATGTTCAAGGATGTGGCCGTGTTCTTCAGCCAGGAAGAATGGGGACACCTGGACCCTGCTCAAAAGGCCCTGTACCGAGAGGTGATGCTGGAGAACTACAGCAACCTGGTCTCACTGGGTAAGGAGCTTCCCATGTGATGCAGAATCTACTTTGGGAACATCCTTGTGACTTTTCCAAGGTGTGCATTTGGGCTCATCATGCTGGTAACTGCTCCTTTCAGCGGCTGGGATAGATGGCAGCGTGGTAGCGTTGATGGTGGGCATCTCTAATGCTCTTTTCCTGTCCCCTGCTCCCTTAGCTCCTCTCACTCTGGAGGGTTCTAGCGCAGAGGTAAGCACAGCCAGGACCATCCCTCTCACCACCTCTCTGGATACCTGATTTTAAGCCCATTTCAGAGCAAACTTGGACTGGAGACTCAGGCTGTGTCTGAGGGCAAGGTGGCTGCTCATGCCTGCAACCTGTACTCAGTTTCTCTTTCATGCACAGGGATTCCGTTTTCCAAACCAAAGGTCATCTCCCAGCTACAGCAAGGGGAAGATCCCTGGATGGTGGATAAAGCCGTTTCTCAAGGGGTCCGTCAAGGTGAGTGGCACAGTGATGGGAAACGGGTAAAGTGTATGGTGATGGCCTGGATGCCTCAGGAGAAGGAGACGCTAGCCGGAAAACCTCCGTGATGTGTTGGCCCCGTGGGAACCACTGAGAAGGGCATGGTTCCTCTCTCTTTTTGACTCTTTGGCCCACAGATTCAGAGGGAGAATTGATTTCTGCTAGTACAGTTACACTGTAGTCAAATTTCACTTGTAACGAGTACAGAATATATTTGTGACTCTTAGATCTTCTATTTATTTTTTCTTGTTTTGACTGGATTGATCATTTACTTAAATTATGTTCCTTTAATAGCTTGAACTGATTTTTATCACTAAAAACATCTTTCACATTACTAATTAATTGTTCACCTTTTGGGGGGATATTACATCTTCCTCTCATAAGTTCCTCTTTCATGAGTGTTTTTAAAATCACATGAACTAGATTTTCTTTTGAGAGTTTAAAAAAACAAAAGTATCAACAGTAATTAATATCAATGTGCCCAGGGTTCAAAAATGTAAAAAGCAGTGCTGTCTGAAGCATAAAATGAAAGCCCGGCGTTCAATCTTTCTCAGTTCCAGTCTCTCCTCTCCAGAGGTACGCAGTGACATGATGTAGACATGACGCTAAGTTTTAAAAATAAACAAATGCACACGAGCACACTTGCTATTGTTGATCAGTGTCATCAAGTTGGTTCCAATCCATAGAGACAGAGACTCTGTGCACAGAAGTGTGTTCAGTCCTGCTCCAGCGTCACAATCGCTGCTGTGGTTCAGGCCTTGTTGCAGCTGCTATTCTGTTCATCTCATTAAAGGCTGTCTTCCTTTTCGCTGACCCTCTGGTAAACACGGTGTCCTCATCCAGGGATTGGTCCTTCCATGACCAAAGTATGTGAGATGAAGTCTTGCCACCCTCACTTCTATAGCGCATTCTGCCTATACTTCTTCCAAGACAGATTTGGTTGTTGTTCTTGTAGTACATGGTAGATCTAGTATGTTTACTGACACCGTAATTAAAAATCATTGATTCTTTTTCCTTACTCATTGTCCAATGTTTGCATACATGTGAGACAATTGAAAATGCTATGGCATGTGCCGGGTGCACCTTTAGCTTCAGACTGACATCTTTGCTTTTGAACACTTTAAAGAAGTCTGCTGACGTGTCTCTTGCAATACATCATATGATTTATTGACTGCTGCTCCCATGGGCCTGCTGGCTTAGTGTTTACCTGTTGGCCTGCATCTGCACAGTTGACACTTGAAACCACCAGTAGCTCCACAGGGAAAGAGGGGGCTTTCTAATCTCATCAACAGTTACCGTCAGAAACCCACAGGGATCACTGTGAGTCAACATTGACTCGATGGCAGTGAGCTTGGCTTTGAGTGGAGCTTGATTGTGGAGCTAAGTAAAATGAAAACTTTGACAACTTTCATCTTTTTTCCCATTATCATGTTGCTTATATAGTCCATTTGAGGATTGTTTTGCATTTTTTTAAGCTGAGGTGTAATCCATACTGCTGTAGTCTTTCATAGTGTTTCCCGTTCTGTTGACTCTCAATAAGCAAAACTGTGTCGTCTGCATATTTCAGACAATTAATGAGTCTTTCTTTGATTCTGATGCTATGTTCTTCTTCATATGGTCCAGCTTCTTGAATTATTTGCTTAACATAGAGATTGTTCTACCTTGCAAGTCTGGCTAGACCAGAGGATGTACACTGGTACATATAGGAACTGGAAATACAGGGAATCCAGGGCGGATGATCCCTTCAAGACCAGTGATGTGAGTGGCGATACTGGGAGCGTAGAGGGAGAGTGGGTAGGAAAGA